ACCCCCCCCCCCCCCCCAAAAAAGAGACTAGACATTTAGTATGAAGTAATTTTAATAGGACCTGCTTTTATGTACTTCATGTTAAAACACTTCCAACAAGCTTAAACTCAAAGTGAGTGTGAGAGCTACAAACCAGTGTTTAAAATTAAGATAATACATTAAAAATAATATGGTGAGAAACACCCGTTTTCAATATCAAACACCAAACCAAGCTGTTTTGTGCAGCTAAAGTGCTGGAAGCGGATGACTCCGAAAGCAGACCAGTTAAATTTACTAATGGCCACTTACATTCCTCTTACAGGAAAAATAAGGTGGATATTATGAAATGCGTGACCTTTAACTTACAATATTGCTATTTAATATTCATCAGTTCTTTTAACTTGTTACATACAAATCTGTTTAAAATCTTTAGGTAACAATGAATCTGTTATTCAGTCAGTTGTGCTAACTTTACTCATGACATGACCTGTGGTGTCTCATGCTTTATTTCTGCATAGAGAAAGGATGCTATTGCTGACGAAAAAATGAAGCTCATCTGCGGTCAACAAGGCTAAATCTTCAACTAAATTGTTTTGCAACCACTAAATAACCCTGTAACATCACTCATTCAAAACATAAGCGCAGCACTTATTTTGACAAATTCATACTTCGACTCAAACAGTAAAACAAGCTCTAGTAATGGGTGATGAGTTTGAGTCCCATGAAATATATCAACTGGTGAAATGTATAGCTTGAATGCAGTGGATAAAAGCATTTACCAAATGCATTAATGTAACAAAAGAATATGGCTATCCACTGAAATGTTTGACCTAATTTAAATAAACCTTTTTGGCTATAACAGTGAACGACTACAGCTACCCTAACTTCCTTTGTTAGGAAAAAGGGGTCAAAAGGTGTTAGTCCAGATATTTTACATTTTCCTTGAGCTTAAGGATGGTAAAAGTTAAAAATCCCCCATATGTCATGTCCTTTCTCATCACACCTGAACATGCACAATTACACATTACACAGACTGAAAGTAGCATGCTTAAAGCAGTCATTCATATCAGTTTCAGTAATCTATGACTCTTACACACTAAGGAGAAAGCAAGGCACATGTTAGCTCTGATGGAAAAAGAAAGAACAAATCCAAAAATTCAAATTCAGTCTCCATCTTCAGTCACTACTTTTCTTGCTTCCTATGGCACAAAAAGAAATCATAATCAATGTCGCAGTGTAACATGACTATAAGATTCATTTCTTTAACACAATTGTGGAATACATATGCATTTTTTCAGCTAGACAATTCTTTTAACTCCATTGGGTCCTTTAATAGAGGGAAACGAATGAGAAAAATGTTAGAATCATTTAGTAAACTTCATATACTGTATGCTTATAATTAGGGATGCACCAGTGTCCACGAGCCCCGGCCACTTCAGTCACTTTGGGAAACTGATTGCATTATAAACACAGGTCACAATGTAACAGCAGCACATACTGGATAAGTGAAACAAAATCTAATTTTCTATCAACATGATGTTATCAGCACAAAGTAATGTTATTTTATTATTATTAAATAATTTTTTAAAAGGCTAGTTAGGCTGCATTGTGAACATTTCCATACAAATTGTACTAATTTGTGATTATGACATGCTCTTCAAATTGAGTCGCTGTGACCAAGTAAATTTCTGCTTTCTAATTATGCAATTATTTTTCTAATTGTTGAGCTGTAATCATTTAAATGGATGTTATAAATACTTGTTTATATTCTGCAAAAAATATAAACATTTAACTACTATTAAAACATTTTTAATTTTGAAAAGAAGCAATTGAATTTGAGACTATTTACATCCAAATGAGGTAAAATCAGAAACATTTCAGACATACAGCATTTCTATATGCAGTCCCCTTCTTTTGAAGGGTAATTCAGTGAGAGGTTTCAGGTGTGAGCTGTTCCCTGATTGTTTCAGTAACACTTAAGCAGTTAACGAACTGTTAACTGCTTCAGTGTTACTGAAACAATGTAGTTGATTCCAAATGTTACATTTCATTTGCGAGATATTGCTGGGAACTCTCAGGATGAAGCTGATAAAGCTGGACATCATTGGCTGAAAAAACTAACCAATCAGGAAGATAGCAGAAAAGTAGGAAAGCACTAGTGAGCCCACTAACACCAAAAGGCCTGGCAACACAACACAACTGTTTCTAAGTCTCTACAATTGAGAGAAGATCTAGTGAAAGTAATACATTACAGAGGGTTTACTACAAGGCAGTTAACTAAAATACTTAAATTCTGAATAATTTATTACATCTATATGTAATGAAGCACTACACAGCCCTTTATGGCACATTATTTCCGAAAACAGCAGCAGATATTTCTGCTGTACTTGCACTGTTAACTGCTTACCTCCATTGGCTGCTGTTGGAGCATGTCCATTGCTATTATGTCCTGTGAAATCCAAAGAGAAAGACAAAATTAGATAAACACAGAAAGCTTATTCATTTTAATTTACCATAAAATGATGCATCTCTTAAACAGGTCAGAGTGAGTGTTACATTAGTGAAGTGGTCACAATAAGTGTGTGCTTTAAAGTAAAGCAGATAAGTAATTATACAAATAAACAATAATAAACAATTAATCATATTTGGTGGTGGTGGTGGTGGTGATTTCATGGAAACTTGTCTGTATTTATGGTAACTCCCTGAAATTGTTTATATAATACATAATTCCTGGTGGTCTAAAATGAAATTGAAACTATGATTGTGGGAAACACCAAATCGTTAAACTATGTTGCTAACTTGCTAACAATACTTTTGGGAACCGCACTCCAGAATGTTCCTTATTGGCAGTGAAAAACTGATTCCCTGTCAAAACATACTCAATATGTGTTTTAAAGCAATCCACCGAATTTGTGTTATTTTTCATAAGTTAATAACCAGGGAGAAGCGCATTAAAAACATCCAGCAGTAGGTGTATTCACATCCACCCAAGCTCTAGTGATAAAATTCATTTATGTGTGAACACCCCATAGCACTTATCTAAAGGGAAATACAGATTTACTCCACTTCAGTATTCTCTGAAGCAGTTTACCTGGGAGAAGATTTTCTATTACTCCATTAGCAGGATTCCCTTGTACTGCTCCATTGGTTTCACTCTGTTTTCGGCAAACTAGAGAGGATTACAAATAAGGATGATAAATACAGTTACAGTCTATATGCATTACTATCAGGTACAGAGATAAACAAGTCAGGACAGCACAACAAAAATTGTTATTAAGGTGTGTAATGTTTGCAACTTAACCACATTATTATAGATTTAAACTATTTCAAGATTTTGGTCATTCATACTCCCCACATAAAACAATAGTTATATTTCTCTCTCTGAAGCAGTCCTGTCAATTCTAATAGTTGAAGTACTTTCAGTAAAGAAAAATATTGTAGCAGTGTGCCCAGAATCTGTAATCATGTTGTAATACTCACTGAGTCTTTTAGTCTTATAAAGGTAAAGGCAGACCGCTGCAACAAGCACTATTACAAGTACAGCTCCAATCGCAATTCCAATAACCAGGGAGCCTCCACAGTCTGGGCACATTCCATCTGCCAAAACAAAAAATTAAAATTAAAACACTGAAGTGTACTACATTTAGAGAACTGACATTCAATTCCATTGTTAAGTCTCTAATCAGGAGTGTTTTTAAGGGATCCTCTATTTTATCCATAGATTTTAACAAAGGTTTTTGTGATGCACATTATAGAAAACAATGTTAGCAAGCGTTACATTTTATTGTATTTGAAACTGGTTAAGCTTTTTGGTACTATTTTTGTCTTTTTGTCTTGCAGATTTAAAATCTTCAGTGTCACAGGTTGTGGCATTTTCTCACGTTATAGTACACTGATGACTCATTGTCTCATAATTATTCCTGAGACTGCGCATGCTTATCCTATGAGAGCGTTTGTTTTCGCTGCACACAATGTATTAAGTATTGCATGATTAATGTAATTAAATGTTCATAGTGTAATATGTTATTGTATGAGAAATTGATTGCATTATCAAGTTACAAATTTCCGATTAGGGCTATCAATTTAATGTCTTAATTTAATTAATTAGTTATGAAATAACATTTGACACACCCACCGGCCCCAGACCTACGTAGGTCATCTAATGATTCATACAGTTGATTGGAGACGAACATGATGCAGGACAACAACTCACTGCATGATGTATAGAATGCCCCTAAAATTCAAAAGATTTATACAGGGCTGCTGCCTTGATATCAGGCCTCTTATGGCCTGTATATAAACTGTATATGTATATGTAATATGTTATATAAATGTATATGCCTGTATATGTTATGTAAAATATCTTATTCAGGGCTGTACTAAATCTAAAATTAGTTTTTATGATCCCTCTTATTACTATTAATATTATTACATTTAGTCATTAGGTTGGCTTGAGAAACTGATCTGCTACTTAAGCTTATTATTATTATTATTATTCTTAGACAAGATTTCTGAACGCTCCTCCTCCTAGAGCTTTTAAGCTCAATATTAAACTCAGCCCAGCTCTTCAGACTGATCTGACTTAGTGTGCTTTTTTCTTTTCAGACTGATCTGACTTATGGTTTTCATAAAAATTAAGATTAAAAATCATAAAAATCCCATAGACTTACATTGACGGAATGTTCAGATGAGCCAAGACTATTCAAACTCCAACTATCAAAATTCAAATGTAAACAAACTGAAGCCCTTTAGACTCAATCAAGCTGTCCTTCTATGTACTATTTATAATCCATTCAAACTCATCCATCTAATATTTCTAATTTATCTATCTATCTATCCTAGCGACATGCTAATCATGCCAGAAACATACTAACAACATGCTAGTAACACGCTAATCATGCTAGGCACATGCTAGCAACATGCTAGTATCATGTTAATCATGCTATAAACATGCTAGTAACTTGGTAATCATGCTAGGGACATGCTAGTCACTTGCTAATCATGTTAGCAACATGCTAATCATGCTAGAAACATGCTAGCAATATGCTAGTAACAGGCTAATCATGCTAAAAACATGCTAATCTAAATTGTCAAACTTCAGGCTTTTACATCTGCTTTAAACTTTCAGGCTAGGCTTTCTCAAGCCAACCTAACTAACAACATGCTAGTAACACGCTAATCATGCTAGGCACATGCTAGCAACATGCTAGTATCATGTTAATCATGCTATAAACATGCTAGTAACTTGGTAATCATGCTAGGGACATGCTAGTCACTTGCTAATCATGTTAGCAACATGCTAATCATGCTAGAAACATGCTAGCAATATGCTAGTAACAGGCTAATCATGCTAAAAACATGCTAATCTAAATTGTCAAACTTCAGGCTTTTACATCTGCTTTGGCTAGGCTGGCTAGGCTTTCTCAAGCCAACCTAAAGTTTGTCTTGACGAACTTTTTTATCTAGTTTATTATTATTATTATTATTATTATTTTGTGATCCCCTTATTATTTTTGATAAAATATTTTAGAGCTTTAGAGCAAACTGAGCAAAACTACTCCATATTTCACTAGAAAAAATACATCATTTGTCAAAGGTATTTATTTCCATTATTTTTTCATGACCTGTGAGATTTTATGTTTTATGTTAATTTGCCATTCATTTGATTAATTAATCGCCACATTGTGTAATTAATTAAATTAAACATTTTAATCTCTTGACAGCCCTATTTATTGATTTATTTTTGTGAACTGATCTTCAGTCTTTTCTTTTACAATTTTCCAACAAACCCACGACACTCTTAGGGGGGTCTATTAAAACTCAATAGAGAGTAAATTCAATTCAAGAGAGATGCTGTAGCTTTACTCTGTAACTTTTATCTGTAACTCCTACTGTAACTTTAATCACTGGTGTCGCTGTTGAACAGTGTCACTGTCACTTTAGAAAAAAAACTAGTAATTTATATACTTTTTATTATCATGTTTTGTAATATTTGCATTTTTAATTTTTCTATTGTGAATAATTTTCTCATCCAATTTTTTAAGGAGTCACTGCCACCCTTGCTTCCTCAAAGGAAACATCCCTGCTTCAATGAGCATTTAATTTATATGATTTCAGTTTTGCCTACCCCATCTGGTGATAATTGTCTCTTTGAGGGTACTGTGAAACACAAAACAATCATATTCTGCTTTTTCATCCTTCGGGATAATCACACTCTTCCTCAGCTGGTAGGTTCCATCATGGTTTGGTCTGACTCCTGAGGATTCAATCTCATCTTCAGACAGGGATGTGCGATATTTCCTTATGGTCAATATCACGTCTTTGGGGTAAAAGCCAGTGGCCAGACAGGTGAGTTTCAGCTTGGTTTTGTCCTTAGTAGACCTTTTTGCAAACACATGAACTTCTGGAGGAGCTGAGGGCACAGGGAACAGTTTATCAGTGAGTTATATCTCCATTACAGCTGCAGATCTTCAACAAATACAAATACTGTACATTTACTCACAGCCCTTTCTGAGCTCCTGTTCTCCGTAGTCTCTGAATTTGTTAAGCCAGTCCACACACTCTTTCTCCAGGTAGCCCTTGGTGTACTGGTTTAGGATGGGCACATTATCCCATTTCTTCTTGGTTGGAACAGCTGCATCAACAGGAGCGACCCACTGAGACTCCTTATCATCAAAAGACAAGAAGTTCTCTCCGTCATAGCTGTACTCATCAATGCCTTTGGAAAACTTCACTTCATCTCCCTGTTTCTCAATTTCACAACCATGTCTCCACTGAAGAACATGAACATCTGAAATAGACACAAATTAAAATGTTTGTGAGATTAAATAAAAAATGTTCATAAAAATACGCATGTTAAAATGTATCAGTGTTCCTCACCTGACTCATTGTGTCTCATGCGTTTCATCAGAATGTCGACGTTCACATTAAACCACTGTTCTTTGCTCTTTCTGGACTGGGTGCCTTTTTCCCAGTAATCCTCCTGCATTTTCTCCTTCATCCAGTGCTGCTTGGGAATCTTTCTCTGTTCCTTACTATTGTAATAGTCAATCTCTCTGTCATCCAGCAGACCCATAGCAGTGAACTGATAGATGCCCAGCTGATCGACAGGTTTGGACAACGCCGTGTAAATGTAATACAGGGAGTGTTTCTCTGCAATAAAGAGAAATATTATATGCATCATATCAACTACTGAAGTAAATGTGATAAAAGGGTTAGCTACATTTCTAAAGGAAATGACAGATACAACATGACGTGGACTCTACAGTCTCAAAACATTTCAGTTACAGAAAGAACTGAAAGGACTAAATATATTATAACATATAAAGCCAGACCTATAATTCACAAGAGGCTAAGGAATAAGGCTGGATAAAGTGAAATTCATATTTTCAGTTTATTATGCTAGAATTTCCGTTTATCCAGAAGGATCGTATTCTTAATTAACATAATTAAAACATAATCCAGTTGAACCTGTATTTATGTCTAATCCTGGTTTCGATTTTATGATCAATAATAAAGGTGTTGGTAAATATAACGTTAGGCCCCTGCGCTGCCATGTTGATCGACGTTTAGGACATCAAGTCTGTGGATAGTTGCTTTTAAGTTGACAAAACTCTTATATAATTATTTTTATAAGTATATAGATACACTTTTAAATGTATGGTGTTAGCATACAGTCGTAATCAAATTTAAATTCTGTCGTGACAAAGCCGTGGACGTTCGCAGAGGCCATTTAGGGGACGTCCTGGGGACTTTTTTTTGTTAGCTGGGTTCACTTTCCTTCTCTGACAAATACACAGCAAAATGTGATCGTTTAACTTACCTGTTTGAAGTGAGGATGAAGTCCCACAGAGAAGAAGAACACAAAGCAGAGCAAAACTCGCGGTCGCGACAGACGTGCCCATGACTGGAACGCTTTTAATTATGTTTAAACTATCCTGATATTTACTGAAGTCTGAATACAGCTCCACAACAACTGAACGCAGGAACAGTCTGGTGTCAGAAAATGGCGGATGAATGAAGGTTAACCAATAAGAAAATACAGCGCGATGATTTCATTCGTATCTGGGCAGATGCACTGAAGCAAGATTACTAAATAAACACAAGCCGTGGAGGTGCACTGTCTAGACCGGTTTATGACCTGTAAAAATGATAAACAGCGTGATAAACGATGTGTTCGATGATTAATAACATGTATTAATGCCATGTTTACAATAAGCAGTTCTTCCACCAAGTTCACTTCTTGCTTGGAGCAAAGTTTTAGCGACGTGACGCAACATTGGCAAAATATCCTTAGAATTTTAATGAAAATGTAGCTAGTTTTGTTCTATTCCAGCTGACAGTAAGTTTGTTTGGGCTTTGTTTAAATGGGTTTGAGTTTAAAAATGCATTATTAACCATTTAGACCATCTATAGTCAACTCTTCAGCAATTATTGGACAATTGTTTATTGGAGTTGCAGTTATGTTTTATTTTATATTCTACAAATGTTTACTGTTCGACTAAATGTTAAAATGCTAAACATGAATCCCTAAAACAGTATAGTTTTTTAAGCAGTGAGTTATCACAATGAAAACAGCTGTCATACTTATAAATTTTTGTCTTTTAAGGTTAAAACTAAAACTGAAACTAATCATTAATAGTTTCTAGAAACTAGAATAAATTAATCCCACATAAATAACAAAAATACTACCGACTGATTTGATACCATGACAAATGAATGTAATGACTGCATAATATAAATTAACTTAATAAGACAGAACAGTCCCACTTTATATTAGGTGGCCTTAACTACTATGTACTTACATCAAGAAATAAGTACAGTGTACTTGTGTTCATATTGTATTGTAAAACACTTCTGCTGCTGTTGAGGTGGGATATACTGTATAAGGTTAGGGACAGGTTTGGTGGTATGGGTAGGTTTAAGGGTGGGTTAAGGTGTAAGGGATGGGTCAACAGTGTAATTATACATGTAATTACAGAAATTAATTACAGATGTTATTACATGCAGGTTTTTTTTTTTTTAAATATAAGTATCCTACAATGTAAAAACATTTATGTACACAATAAGTGCATTGTACCAAATGGTTATTTGAATGTAGTACATAGTAAGGCCATCTAATATAAAGTGGTACCAACAGAACCATATTAACGGCAATAAGCAGAAAGGAATCAACTAATGTAAAAACAAAAATATAGACCTATATTATAACATTAAAATATTTTACAGAATAAGACATTCAATAGTGTTAGTTTTAAAGAAGCTGAATGAAATACAGATTCACCGTAGAAAGGAAGTAAAATGGTATTTTATTTACATGCTATCAAACAGTCTTTCAGATTTTGTATTCAATATGGTGTTTACCAAATAACACCAAATAAGATTCTTCTCCGGATTCTGCATCTGCTATGCATCACAGTCACTTAGCAAAATAGTCTGTTCACCCTCAAAGAGAAGAGAGGAGATCCACAAGAAAGGTGACTGGCTATCTTTGGGCTAGTTTTGAATAGCAATTGGGCTGGCTTTGTTTCACAGATCTGGCAACCCTGATTAGAAGGCCTTTCAGTGAAAAAATGCATTGCATTGACATTATGCAAATGTTCATGTCAATCTAAACAGATGCATTAACGGCCATTCAAATTAAAAGTTTATCACACCAAATATTCGTCTTGATGTTAACAGGCCTGTAGTCTATTTTGACATGTAATCAATAAAACCAACAAATCATAGCAAACCCAGACAGCAACATAGTGTTGGCCCAGATCCGGCCCACATCTGGCCCATGTGAAATCCATGCGGGCCAGATGTGGGCCGGATCTGGGCCAAAACTGTCTGCTGTCTGGGAATGTTAAAACAGATTTAATAAAAGACTTAGAAATCATTGATTTGTCAACCAGGTCTTTAGCTTCCTATGTGAATATAACTGATTTTGAAACAATAACATTTGTTTTCCAGCCAGCTTATCTTCTGTCAATGTACAATATCAAGATATGAGTAACCATGTCAACCTCTTTACCAGCAATAATTAATTTCAATCTGAAAATGGTCCTCTGTGCATAACAGTGCATTTTAAGTCTAAAAATGTACACACTACTCATTAAAAGTCATGTTTATCAAAAAAATCAGTTTGCAAAATCACATAGAGTTTATAGGCTATTTCTCTAAAAGACTCCACTGACTGAATCCCCACAGATTCCTTACCATTTACTCCAGCCACAGCTTTTATCCCACTTACCCCTAGTAAATCTGATGTCTTATATTTCAGTTTAGTCGTCCTGATTTCCCTTTTCACTTCTTTACACTGCCGTCCAAAGGTTTAACGCATGATATACAGTTACAGTAATGTGGCGTCTCATGGTAACCATGGTAATAATGCCTCTGTTTACAGAATCACATGGCATTCTGTAATGTAAAATTCTGTATTTGATGCCATCTGTATAAACCGTAACATCACCATATTAAGTGGGAGAAGTAAGTGGGAGAGCTTTGTTGTAATGGGATGACACCTGGTGAGATAATTTGGATATGTTAAACGGTCGAAAGATAAAAGAGTATGTATAAAAGAGTTAATGACTGTGGAAAAAAAATAGCTTATGAAAACTGAATAAATATTGCATAGTATAGCTATCATAAAAATCCTCTCAAAATTCTAAATAATACAAAAAAATATTATTGAACAAAATTACATTACATTAAAAAAAAAAATATATATATATATATATATATATATTTCAAGGCCTCTGTCACTTTTGATCGTGAAGTGTGATCCAGAAACGAAGAGGCTGCAGAGGGTTCAGCATTAGCTGCACTGACATTCAGTTTTTCATTATCTCGTCTCATTCAGATGCTCTTTATGTATAATATATGACTGAATCTATTCATTGTGTCTCATACTTGACATTCACATGAAACAATTGTTCTAAACAGACTACATCTATTATATATCTATTATAATAAGCTAAATAATAATATAAATTTAGTCTCAAAAACCCAAATTTAAAAGCAATGCTAACAAAATTAATCAATATCCTGGATAAACTGAAATTCCTATTTTTCTGTTTATTTGTCAGAATTTATGTTTATCCAATCGGGTCTTGTTTTGAAAAATGAATTCAAGGCAAAACGTGAAACATAATCCTTTGAATGCTATCTAATCCTGATATTAATCATGTATATAAGTAATAAAAGTGTTAGATTGTTCTTGTTTCTCACCCTCAAGTTGTTCCCAAACCTGTATGGATTTCTTTCTTCTGCTGAACACAAAAGAAGATATTTTTAAGACTCTGGGGAAATGCATTGACTTCCATTTTTTTTTTCAAGTCATTGGGGACCAGAGCAACTGTGGATAGTTAGCTTTTTAGTTGACAAAACTCTATACTATATTAGTAGTTATGCTCTAGTTGAATTAGTATAAAATAGATACACTTTCATCATGTACGATGTTATCATAAATTCGTAATCAAATTTAAATTCTGTCGATACAACCCAGTTTTATATAAGGAAGCGTAACATATTACTTTCACTTTCGTTCTCTGATAGATGCAGCAAAATTCATACCAGTTTATACCGGTACATTTCAACATCTGAACGCAAAAATATTCCGCGTCTTCGGCCTGAGACACTAGGACAACCATAGGACAAGCGGTTTGGAGAATAGCCTAAATGGATGGATAGCTGGAAACTGATTGCAGAAAATGGCGGATGAAGTTCTAACTAAAACTAAAAATGTAAAATGATAATATCTGTATGTGGGCATAAGTGGTGGAGCAAGACTAAATCAGCAACATTGGATGAAACCCTCACTCAGTGAAACTCTTGCTGAAACGACAGCAATATGGTTAAAGAAGTCTTTAATGACAATATTCACAGTAACCAATTCTTTCTCCCAAGTAATTCATAATGGTTTTAATTGATGACAATCAAATAAAATCACAATTCAATCATTTGATCACAATGTTAACAAATAAGACAGAGTGTATTCAACAGATTTAGATTAGCACACATTTATAGAAACATCAAAACATGAGGCTGTCCATTATTTCCATGAAATCCTATGCAAAACGTTAGAAATCAGATTTAGACAGTCCATTCTGACAGTGGAAACAGATGTAATCTACTCATTTTTCTTACAACAGGTGAAAACATGTTTATACTACTGTATATATAGGCCTATTAAGAATAAATAGATCCCACATAACCAGCAGGCATTCATTGATACCACTGCTCCATTTGGTATCATGAAGAATGATTGTAGTGATCATTGCCTGTATAAATGAAGTGTATTAAAACAAAATTAATCAAATAAGGTAAAACAATCACAATTTTAACTACTTTTGAGGAGTAAGGCATTCAAGAGTATAAAAGAATATATAATTATTATAGAGTATTCCAGATGATTATTTGGAAATGAGAACATTTCACAAGCATGCTCTGGATTTTATTTACTGGTATTGAAACTATCAAATATTTTTAATGATGGTATTAAAAATATCAAATATGATGAAACAAGTGTCTACCCTGGCCCTTTAGAGGTAGCAATAATAATAAGTGAGCTCTCTTCCTATAACTTAATCTGGAAAACATTCTCTCAAGCAAAGTGTTTTAAAAAATCCAGATTACATGAAAAACGAGAGAGAAAGACAGAGAGAAATTATAATTCAACTACAAGCAACCTCCAAAAATAAAATGATTGTCAGGACTGTCAGAATTGACAATGACAAATGCCACAGATCTGCCATTACAAAAGTTCAGTGATGCTCTCACTCTGAAGACTGTTGTAGAAGTGATTGCGCTTCCGCAGGTGAGCTTTGACCACTGGAGGCCTCACTCTGAAACACAGACATAAATATTTGTTATTCAATTTACTATTAGGAGTGGCTAAATATTAGGCAACTGACATTTGGTATTTTCCATGTATCTAAGACACTTTTATTCAGAGCTAGCTACACTACTCTGCACCATCCTATTTGAAATCAGTGGATTTCCAGTATTCCCAAATGTTGAGTTCCCTTCAGTTTGTAGGTATGCTTAAAAAATAGCTATCCACATCCACATCCTGGTCCTGGTCCTAAGGTCTGCTTTTGTCTGATTACTCTAACTTGCTTTAGATTATATCTATGCAGGTGTATGTTATCAAACATTTGTAGTTCATCCAGAATGCTGCAGTCTCCAGCTGATGTTCAGACTTCCCAAATATTCACTCGTCTACTCTGCACCTTCTGATGGTTCCCTGTCCCTGCTAGTTCAAACCCCAGGCTACATAATAGGGCTAATCTATTAGGGCTTAACCATTTTGTTGACCACATGATATTTTTCCTGTGCTACCCTAGCCTATGGAAAAACAGAAATGTGTCAATGTGATCCCTCTGGCTGCACTGATATTACATGTAAAATATAGTTACCACGAGGTTCACTGCCTCCTGAGAGTTAGTGGGACTGTCGTCTGGACTTGGACCAGCACTCCCTTTTCCTGTTGAGAAACAGTCAATTGTCAAAGTGTTTCTCCAGTGCTGTGCATGAGATGCCATATTAAATAGGGATGCACCAATCAATCAATCAATAAAAAAATAGAAAAGGAAAAAAGCAGCATTTATGAGAAACAGTGGTGAAAAGCTGCTTTGCCATGTGTGTGTGTGTGCAATGAGATTCATAAGATACCAGTTTGGATTACAGAAAGACAAATGATGCATTTAAAGTTGCAACCTAATTTTGGTGCATTATTTAAAGAAAAGCATGAGATAGAGGCATATTCACCAGAGTCAGAACTGCACTGACTTCCTGCTATTGCTGCATTAGGTAACTCACTTAGATTCACTGTAACATACAGATATTCAAGGTAAGCAGCAATACTATTCACAACAGAAATTTGGAACTGCATAGTGAAATGCTTTATCTACACTGGACATGTCTCTCCAATGCCAGGACATTCTACTTAGATTACACTTTGATTCCACATTCTTTTAACAATGTTTACACACATTTAATGAACAATTTGTATACAATTAACGTCACCTTTTAAATGGAATATCGAAAACATAGTTACCACAATTAATTACTCTATTCTGAGAACCAGTCGAACTGCTGCTTGATCTGTTACTAGCCCTGTCTTGTCCTGTTGAAGAAACAGTGAAATGTTAAAGTATATTTTAACATAGCCACAACTAGTTCTAAATCTGTATGCTATATGTGTGTTCAGTGGAACTCAAAAGCTTCATATAATAATTACACCATGATTGCATAATGACAGAATTTTCTTCTTGTGGAAAATTAATCCTTTGAAAACACAAAACTGATAATAAGAATGTGTAGATCATCATTAATCAGTCCATACTCACCAGCAATGTTTCTCCTCCTCCTCAAGAAGTAAACCAATGCACCGACTGCCAGCATAAGCACGACTCCGATCACTGCTCCAATCACCATACCCAAGATAGTCCCTTGAGTGCAGTCCTGGCATTTTCCATCTATACAAATAAAAAATAAATATTTTAAATCAATCTGGATTGATCAAGGATACAAGAAGCAGAAAAAAAATGTAAGTTCACAACTTAAAAGCCTTCTGATTTGAATATCATGTGATATTTCTGTCTATATGCTTTAATTACCCCATGTGATGATAATTGGCTCTTTGAGGGTTCTGTGTTTCACAAAACAATCATATTCTGCTTTTTCATCCTCCTGGATAATCACACTCTTCCTCAGCTGGTAGGTTCCATCATGGTTTGGTCTGATTCCTGAGGATTCAATCTCATCTTCAGGCAGGGGTGAGCGATATTTTCTTATGCTCAATATCACGTCTTTGGGGTAAAAGCCAGTGGCCAGACAGGTGAGTTTGACTTTGTTTTTGTCAGTGGTGCACCTTTTTGCAAACACATGAACATCTGGAGGAGCTGAGGGCACAGGGAACAGTTTATCAGTGAGTTATATCTCCATTACAGCTGCAGATCTTCAACAAATACAAATACTGTTTATTTACTCACAGCTCTCTCTAAGCTCCTGTTCTCCATAGTCTCTGAACTTGTTAAGCCAGTCCACACACTCTTTCTCCAGGTAGCCCTTGGTGTACTGGTTTAGGATGGGCACTTTATCCCACTTCCTCTTGGTTGGAACAGCTGCATCAACAGGAGCGACCCACTGAGACTCCTTATCATCAAAAGACAAGAAGTTCTCTCCGTCATAGCTGTACTCATCAATGCCTTTGGAAAACTTCACTTCATCTCCCTGTTTCTCAATTTCACAACCATGTCTCCACTGAAGAACATGAACATCTGAAATAGACACAAATTAAAATGTTTGTGAGATGACCATAATTAAAAATGTTCATAAAAATATGCATGTTAAAATGTATCAGTGTTCCTCACCTGACTCATTGTGTCTCATGCGTTTCATCAGAATGTCGACGTTCACATTAAACCACTGTTCTTTGCTCTTTCTGGACTGGGTGCCTTTTTCCCAGTAATCCTCCTGCATTTTCTCCTTCATCCAGTGCTGCTTGGGAATCTTTCTCTGATCATGGCTATTGTAATAGTCGATCTCTCTGTCATCCAGCAGACCCATAGCAGTGAACTGATAGATACCCGGCAATTGGACAGGTTTGGACAAGCCCGTGTAAATGTAATACAGGGAGTGCTTCTCTGCAATGAGGGTATATGCAAAGGAATTAAATAAAAAAAGCAAATAGTGTATAATATATATATCAAATTATATAATTAAAATCAGTCTGGATCCAAACCCAGGTCTATTACTTTTATATAAATACAGTATATGATAAAAAATCGGTAGGTGGCGACAACTGACTAATTCTTTCAAGAAGAAACACAATGGATGATTCTGCTGAGGCTTTGTTGGCAGTGGCCACCAGACCTGGGAGACCGGCTAAGAAGAGCAAACCAGGTTAGCCTAGTTTAAGTTTTTGTTTGTTTGTTTTAATACACAATTATTTATTGAACTGTATAAAGAAAATGTCTTAATGAAAGCAACAAGAAAATGGGTAGGCCTTTTTAATTTAATAGCTAGTATTTTTTTTAAGTCGACATTAGACAGAATTCTTCAAGGTGGTTAAAAATGACCATAAAACCTTTATTATTATTATTATTATTAGAGCAACACGATATTCCACAATAAAATAACAGTAGTTTAAAGTATGAAACTCGCAGGTAAAATTAGACCTATTTCAACCTTATTATTCAATATAGTTTTAAGTTTAGTGGAGTACGCCTAGTTAAAAGATCCGTCGAGTTGATGTAACTCATACACTTGTTTTTCAAGCAAGTTCAACAAACCGAAAGTATTTCTGTACCCGTTTACCTGCGCCATTTTAGCGACACACCTGGACACCAAAACACACCTTAACTAACACTCGGGAATATTTCAGTTTCAGTCTTTTGAACACTCATTATGTTGATATATATATTATAGTAAGCATATTGGGGAACTGTATTAAACCATGACAACACTGGTTTTGCTTTCAGTTTTATGTTTCAGTATTTTCAGTATTATTATTTATAATAAACGCGCTCTTTAGCGTCGAAGCAGCAGACTCACCGCTCCAGGCAGAAACAGCAGCACCGAGCAGAAACACCGCAAACAAAACGAGGAAAAGTCCCATTTTTAAAGCCTGTTAAGGCTTCAGAGCCTCTCCGTGTCTTCCTCAAGCGACGGACGGCTTCTGTTGAACTGATACCAGTCCGACAGGTTCATATGTAAAAATTCACACCCTCCAGAGATCTGATCCAATGCTAAAACAGCGCGCGCAGCGTCACTTAGTGATGGGAAGTTCAGTTCTTTTCCGCGAACCTAATTTGTGGATTAATGCTTACTGGAGACGCGAACCGTTTCAAATGATTCAGTCAGATTTGGTGAACTGGTTCAACCGGTTCACTAAGAAGAACCGGTTAAATCGAACGATTCGTTCGCGAACCGGACATCACTAGCGTCACTAATAACCACGATCCAGTGGAGTGCGGAGTTTCAGCTCCTGTTTGTGATGCATAATAACTAAACTAAGACCTTGTTCTGTGAATGTCATGTCAAATAAATTATGCAAAACAAAATATGCTAAATTAAAGAGGATTCAATTAAATAGCTTTATTTAAATAACATCGTATTTATTGGTTATCCTAGATAGTAGGTCTAGGTTATTTGTAAACCATAGGCCATACATTACATCGCCCATTTCTCTAAGCCAGGGCTAACTTCAGTTAGTGTACTGTTAAGATTTAGTGCAAAAACTTAACAGTAGGCTAAACTAAAAGTGAGACAGCAATATATTTCATACAAAATATTTAATTTGTACATATGTATATAATCTATTCAAGCCCATCTTTGTATTGTCTATATGCAATCGAGTGGCCATGCATTGACCACACACAATCCTCTTTCAAACTATAGATGTCAGGTAGAGAAAGATCTGTAGCAATCTAGATAACACCCTGCATTAATTTTGGCCTAAGTGAGTTATTTATGTCTATGACATTCCCTTTCATATTTAATGGCCACAAAAAAAGAAGAAGAAGAAGAAGACAAGGTAAGAAACATCCATGCTGTATATTGATATTTTTCAAATCCAGGAAAATTATATTTTTGTCTCCTCAAATGCAGGTTTGTACTTATTAAATATTTCGTTTTTTTCTTTTTCAGGACATCACTATTTTTTAATATAACCTTAAGTTTAGCGATTTGTTTATTGCAAAGCAACCAGAAGTTGATTTTTAATGATAGTTGCCAATTTAAGGTGTCATGCAGCTACATTGGCAACATTCATCAAGTCGAGCGGAGTCAGAGACAGTATAGACATCAATTTTACTTTAAGCGAGAAAGATGTTTTGTGGAAAAATAAGTGATTACTACAGAATATTTGTTAACAGTTTTTAATAAATGTCATATAATCTGCATTTTTCCCATGAAATAAGCACTATTTCTGTTATCCCCACCCCACAATTTTCAAAGGACATTTTCAAAGATTTAGATTTAGCTGACTTTTAGGGACAAATTTGTCTCCAAAGTATAGCTAAATAATCCACACACACACACACACACACACACACTCCTTCCCCTTCACTTTCTGCCAAATCGAAAGCCAAATCCTCCTTTCTGTCTGTTGAAGGCTTGCAAACCTCCCGCAATGGAAGTGAGCGCCTCGTTCCTCTTCTCTCCACCCTCCTCCTCCACCTCTCCCCCCTGTGGATACGGCACATCCACTATATGGTTTTCTGGGAATGTCCCCACTGGTCTCTGTCCCAGTTCCTCTCTCTTCTGGCCCGTCACCGTGCTCCTCTGTCCCCATCCCAGCTCTGCCTTCGCTCTCTCCAGAAGCTCCTCGGGGCCCGGCTCCTCAGTCAGAGCCCAGGGCTGGAGCTCGGCCGCTGCTCTGCCGCCTGGAGCTCCCAGTGAAGCCTGAAGCTGGAGCAGTGCAGCTTCCCACTCAGGGTTGTCCAGCGTAGGCAGGTAAACCATGGGATGGAGAGGCAGCATTAGACCTCTGGGAGGCTGGACCAGCAGCACCAGCAAGAAAAAGACCGTGGTTTGAAGAGTGGAAGAGAGATGCAAAACCTGGAATTTCATCTGAAATTTAAGGAATAAATAAAAGTTGAGAGGATTCCATCTAAAAAGAGACAAACATCATCCTGCACTGATGTAATTTTTCACATTGAACTGATTGTAAGACTTACCTTGCAGAGTGCTGTGAATCTCCTTGAAGTCGTCTCCTTGCAGCTTCTTTAAATACTCTACCCATGCTAGATTTGTCCATTGTCAATGAGACAAAAAGCTGTTTGTTAATTGGTTAAAAATGCCTGTGACGCACAACCCCATCTCCACAATGTCATCAAAATTCCTTTAACTAGGATACACAGTCATTTTAACTGGCAGAGATGAAGGGGACAATTACTGGAAAACGGGCACGCATGCAATCTAACACACACACACACACACACACACACACACACACACACACACACACAGCCTCAAGTTTATTTTGAGTTTGCACCTCACCAGGAAGGCTCAGAAACATCAGAAAGAATTTCGCAGTTGTCAGTATAAAGTTCAGATCATTAGGCCATTTTAGCATCCATCCATCCGTCCATACTTCTGTCAATGTATCTGTCTGTATTTACACTCTCAAAAAAAAAAAAAAGTGCAAAAATTGCACCTTTAGGGGTACAGCAGCTTGTCACTGGGTTCAAAGTAGTAAAAAGATTAGGAAGGATTACTACCCCAAGGTACTAATATGCACCTTTTAGGGGTACAAAGTTGTCCCTTTAATGGTACTTCCCCATTGCCGAGCTGTTGTAAACTCCTGAAAGGTTTTTCACTTTTTTTTTCTGACAGTGAATATTCAGCTAGCAATATCAGCATTCAAGAAAATACTTGAACACATTAGAACCACATCAGATGGACACCTCACATTAGGCCAGTCATCATATTCATTAATGGTGGGAAACAGAGACATGGCTGATGTCTAAATTACTTGTAATACACACACACATTATTAAAAGGCACCTATTATGCAAAATCCACTTTTTCACATAAATTTGGACATAAATTTGTGTTGGCAGTATGTGAACACAACCAGCCTACAATGATAAAAATCCACCCCATTTTTTTTTACATCCCCATTACTATGGCCCCTGACTATGCAAACCTTTATCTTGGTTATCTTGAAGATCAATATATTTTCAATAACAATCCTTTTTTTCAGCAATTTGGTATGGTTCAAAAGATATATTGATGATTGTTTTATTTTTAAAGGTTGTGCTAGTGATTTTGAAGTCTTTGCCTTATATATGAATTGTCTTAGATCATCCATTAAGTTCACCTATCATGTGAGGACAACAGATATTAACTTTTTAGATACAAATATCTCTGTCATTAATGGCCAACTTTTATATTCTCTGTATGGAAAAGAAAAAAAAAACAGCCTTTTACATGTTCAGAGTGCTCATCCCTTGTCTTTGAAACAGTTTATGAGACTTTTTCGTATCTGTTCTAATAAGGATGATATTGAAGCTAAAGCCTAGACTTTATATAGTGACTTCAGATCTTGCGGATATCCAATCAAGTGGCTAGATACTGCACTAGACAAAATTAGATCATTGCCAGATGATACCAACTTGACCACCCCCAAAATAAGAAGTTTTTTTTTGTGTGTATTTAAATCTACTTTTAGTCCCTCGAGTCCAGAAATCAAAAAAGTAATCAATAACCGTTGACATATCATACAAAGTGATTGCGATCTGTAAGGTTTGTTCACTGATCCACCTCTCGTTGTTCACTCCAGGCCTCCAAATCTACAGGACAAATTGGTGCGTGCAGATACCTACATCCCCACTCCTGGGACCCTCTCTGATGCCCATGGAAATTTTCAGTGTAAAGATTATGTTGCTTGTTCTTATTATTTAAAATGTAAATCATTTATAAACCCACTAACTGGCAAAATTGACAAAATTAAACAATTGATCACATGTAAAACAACACGTGATTAAGTTCACCTATCATGTGAGGACAACAGATATTAACTTTTTAGATACAAATATCTCTGTCATTAATGGCCAACTTTTATATTCTATAATATATACATAATTATGTGTTCCTGCCCTTTATTGTATGTTGGTAAAACGAAACGTGCATTGCGCACTAGAATTGTAGAACATATGAGTGCTATCAGGAGACAAGATCACACTCCAGTTTTTCGTAATTTTGAATCTGCAAAACATCCTTTTTCTGATTTCAAATTCCTGGGCATTGAGAGGGTTCTGTTGCATACGAGACAACCATGATAGTTACGAAGAGAGGCTTTTTGAGTTGAAATCATTAACCCCGACTAGATTAAATGAAGAGATGGATCGCGTATGTTTTTTGTAAAGGGAAATTGTTGGCTTGATTAAGATCCCTCATTGATTAAGATCAGCTGTTAACAATTTGCAACTGTGCATATAAAAGTGTGTTGTTGCTTTTTGCCTCATGAACACTGCTCCTTGGTCTGTTTTTAAGACACTTTGTGCTTTTGTCACTTTTTACTTTTGCACATGGAAAATAACATATATTTTTGATAGACCTTTTTTGGTCTGATTATATTTTTCCAGTGTGCGGACGACTTCAGTTACATCCCCATTAAACCAAATCAGTCTCATTAGACCTGCCGTTTTGATTCTCTGAGCAGTGTGACATCACATTGTTTAGGCCCCGCCCACGGCCGCTGACTGACAGTCCTGCGCTTCTCCGCGCTCGAGCAGCTGTAACTTCTCGTAAGCAATCCCTGCGTTCTGTGTTTGTATGTAAGACTGAACATAAGAGTCTTCATTTTCTCCCAACATCTGAGCCACTGAGGACACAGTGGATTTCTTTTATTTTTGTAGGTAATGCGCCTCAAAATCACGTCCTTATAGTGCTTAGCTAAAGTTTTAACCATAACGTTATCGAAGCATTTGTGTATATGTGTTGCTCATCCGTCCTTGCAAATGGGCTGTGAAAACTCTACAAGTACATAAAAGTATCAAATAAGCATTGTGAGATGGTCCTGGTTCATTCTCATAGGTGCTTCTTCTGCCGGAGTCTCTCCTTCATGTGTCTGACCCCAGTTCTCTCACTCTCAGTCATGTTGCTTCGATACCGGCTGTTTATTGTTGTACAGTAGCAGGGGCGTAGATTACGCGGGGGACGTGTCCCCCCCACTTTTAATAATAGCACGTAAATTCGTCATTTCTGTCCC